CGTGCATCCACCACCAGCAAACCATTGCCCAAGCCAAAGTCGCGACCTGCCGCACAGGCAACCGAGCAGGACGCAATCCGTGCAGGCATCCCAGCAGGCTACTCCATCAAACATTGGGATCCCACGGAGTTGCCGATCATCTTGTTGGGCAGTGTCTTCGACGCCAACTCGCTAGGCAAGTGGATCTACGACTGGACCGTGTTCCACCATGGTGCTTCGACTCCCATCGCCGATATCGCCGGCGAGCTTTGGCTTCTCCTCATCAAGTTGGCGGGTAAGATGAAGCGAGCTGAGGAGTGTGTCGGCCGCATCCGGAACGTCGAGAAGCAGGAAACAGTCGAGGACTTCATCGTCAGTGGCAAACGCCTCTGGGAGAAATTCAAGGCCCTCCTCAAGGAATGCGAGCACTACATGCTCAAGGCTGCCAAACGTGACGGCACCAAGACCATGGGCAAGAAAGCAGGGACCGAGTTCGTCGACTCGATCTTCGGCCGCGATCGCCACCTCGAACACACCGAGAAGATCATGAACCAGATTCGTCTGTGGAACATGCGCTTCGACGTGAACTGCGAAGAGACACTGCGCAGACCTTCTGTTGCCTAGAACCGGGCGGCGATACGAATCGCTGGCATGGATGGCGTGCAGGATAGACAGGACACTGCAGTGGCAAATTTCTTACAACGACTCCGCCACACGCTACTCGTACTGCACAACAACCAATCACCTCCACACACTCGACATCAACACAACTCACCACCGTGACGCTCAAGTCACTTCGCATCTTTACGCGACTTCATTGGCGCCAATGGTTAGGCACCTGTAACAACAATCATTCACCACTACATGGAGGGATTACAGTATGAGTCACATTCGCTTGAAATCACTCATATCGGGCGGCAAAAGTACAATCGTTATGCTCTTCGGAGTTTTTCACTTGAGCATGGGAACAAGGGTAGCAAAAGTTCTATCATGAGGCCATGATGGACGGAACACATGACCACAGAATGACTCTGAATCTTGTACCAATATGTGTTACGGATACGGCCAGTCTGCGGGTTTTTGTCATCGGGCTTCAACAGGCCGGCGTTTTATCGTCATTCAGTTCTTGCTTCATCGAGCACAGAGATACCCCCTCATGTTAATTTCACATTGTTTGCTGATTCTGGGGTCTCGGGATATATCACGGTGTGCGCGGGCTTGGGGATTTTTTGTTTTACACAAGACGAGGGAATCCGCAAGGACAATACGGCTTGGTGGAGTTTGGTGGGCGGTGCTTGGTTCATACCTAGCTTTCTGCTACAACATTGGAAGAAGTACCTCGGACTATATGGAACTACCAGGTACATGTGTAATCGTGGAGGAGTTTGTAATATCACAAATGGAATTTTCCTGCGCATCACGGTCTATGCTCTCGTGTCTCTGCTATGGGTTTCCGTCCACATTTGGTGCATTCAGTATTGTTTCACTCGCTGGTCGTTTCTTCTGTATTCAGAGCCGTCCGGAGCGGAGTATGCTGACCTTAACCTATGCCATAACGTGCTCCGTACTCCGTACACCATACCTTGTACTGAATTATCTACCTACTCTCGCACTGTATATCATACCTGTATGTCTTACATTCCATTTCCGGCCCCATCTCTTGCGACATCGATGATCTACACACGGCGTGGTGCTCCTGCGCAACCTACATACGTACACACGATTACGAAGGGCTGGGCACTGCATGGTACAGTACCTAGTGGTAGAGAGTTTCTTACTGTGCGGGTCGAGTAGGTAATCGTGCACCGAGCGCGCGTCTGCGGATAATGCCTGGCCTCAGTGATCAGGCAGCCAGGAATGAATCACGGCATGGGTGCGACCGTATACCGCACTGGTGACTACGGGCTACAAGTCCATCTGATACGATCGGCGCTCTGGTTTCGGACTCGAAGCATACCCAGTAGAGTGACTGGCTCACTCACGTGGTGCTGTACTCGTGAGCGCGAGAGAGCACTGTACTCGTACTAGTAGGTGTGCTCACAGAACTACCTAGTACCAACTGTTATATAGCAACCTGCTGCGTGCATACTGATAACCCGCCATATCAAGACGTAGGTATGCTTGTACCACACTTCTCGGCTCTCGCAACCTGTACTGTAGGTACGCCGTACTGTCCCCCTGTAATGGAGGGGCGGGTGAAAAGACGTCGGGGCGCTTAGTGAGCCTCACAGATACGACGTGGACACGAACCACATGGCGCCATTGGTCAGCCGAATGCGGCAGAAAGAATGGAAGGTGTGGAAGTTTCCCTAAGGTCGAGCCTTGACCCCAATTGTTACCGCGAGTGCCCGTTTGGGGACTGGCGGGTGAGTGGTTTCTGACATGTGCATGCAGGCGATCGTCAGCGGCTGCAAGAGGAGGATGGGTTGGTCCGTTCACTGATTCGCTGGCCGTGGCCCGGGTCTGCCGTGACTCGCTTTAGAACCACATTGATTGTGCTGAGGGCGGAAGACAGAGAACAAAGATTGAATGTTGATGTGAATGCCAATACGAATTCGATCTGACTGCTCGCTTAGGGCTTCAGGTCATTGGTGCGACGGTGGGATGAATGTGTGCCAGTGATGGCTGTAGGTTTCCCCGTGTGTGTGTGTGTGTGTGTGTGTGTGTGTGTGTGTGTGTGTGTGTGTGTGTGTGTGTGTGTGTGTGTGTGTACACAGTATCCGCGTGACATGGTCGTATATCACGTCGTGAGTCCGGTATCTTTCAGCTAAGCCATGCGAGCGACTATCCAGAGTGAGTGCCCTTCACGTCACAGCACTTACTGGGTACGTTCCGTGGTACCGCCCTTACGAATGCAGCACCGTACGGAGCGAAAGAGCGAGCAGCTGAACATCTCTGCGTAACGCACGCCTGCACGCTTTGAGCAACGCGCATGAACCGGTGGTCATGGCTCCACGTCACTGTGGGTGTGTCGAGAGACACCAACGCTCAGACTTTTTCTTACTGTGCGCACGTGAAATGTGCTCGGGGTTGCTGGTTTCGGCCTTTATCCAGTTGCGAACGCTACGAGTAGCCCCACGTTACGCTGATCGGCGGGTTCCTGGAGCTGTCACTGCAGTGTGAGAGTGTGAATCGAAACTCTGAATGCCTCTTGCTGCGAGCATGTGATGTCGCCGGTCACTTGGTATCCACTCGGGTTCACACGCCATTGCTAGAACAGGTGTTATCACATACACAGGACACTCTGTTGCCCTGTTTCCCGGTGTTCAGGAAGAGCTCGATTTGTGATTTTCGCATTTGCAAGGTCCAGTCACCCATTGCGACAGCCCGACGATGATCTGCGGAGGAGGCCAACTACCCGGCGCAGGTCGGAATGGGTATGTTTGCAGCCGGACAGGTCGCAGACTGGCCATCATGTTCGCATTTTGTGGTATCCAAAGGCAATGCGGGTATCCCCTTGCGTAAGGTTGACTGCATAATCGCGTCGATCTCGCGCATGTGAGAAGAATTATCGTGGCTTACCAATTGGCTGGACCTGTCATTTCTGCAAGCTACCTGGTAGCCAGGCTAACTTGTGATCAAAGCCTTGCAGTATGTCGACCTGTATCGGCACAAGTCCTGCATGCTTTGGTTCAGCTCTGCAAGGAGGGGTTTACGACGCAAGGTTCACCAGGACATCCACCCTGGGCCTTGGAATCATGAGTGCGAAGCTTGAAGTCTTGTCGAGTGTGTTGCTGGTGATGCAGTCGTAGTAGACGGGCACACTTCAGGCTTACGGAGTAATCAACGTAGGATGCTGTCTGGGTTGCCCCAGGACATGAAGGTATCCAGACCCAGAGCCGTTGGTGTCAAGTCACCCTGAGCTGTTGGTGTGCAGTCCAATTCGGCCTCCTGTTAATCCGTGTACAACGAGCCGCAAGGGATAATGAAGCCTACACGGTACCGAACACCACTCGCCCTTCGATTCATTGGTCTGCTTCGCGCCCGCGCCAGACAGTGTTCGGCAAGCACAATACTCGCGTCTGTCAAGGTGACCTATCACTCTGGCGTCTTCGCTTATGTTCAAGGTGCGCTCAGCTTAGCCACCAGCACGCTCGTATCGCTGCCTTCAAGGGGCCGAGATTCTGAGGGTGTGAGTGGCAAGGCGCTGGCCATGATCCTGTAGCTTCGACGTGAAATGGTATACCTCGTATTTGAGAGGGTGCCGCTCAAACGCGATCACGCCCCGTGAGGCCAATGGCGGGGGAAGCGCCCATTGCGGAAGGGGCAAACCGCGTGCGGGCTTGCTTGCCGCCTGAGAAACCTGAAACAAACGCCCCCTGCGCTACTGATCGGCCGTTCACTCTCCAGCCTCTTCATCCTCACAATCGCTTCCTAGGCTGCACAGTGGCTGCTGCGGCACTGCTGCCTGCAGCCCAGCGGCAACCAGTGCTTGATTTGATGTCTCGACCCTGCGCCTTCTCTGGAACCTTTGGTCACGCCCTCGACAAGCCAGGCATCCAAATCCAAACAGCCTCACATCCGCGAAAGCCAAAGATCCAGAGAAAGAGGGGGGTCATGCGCCCTCCCGCTTCACACGGCTCCTGTCAAACGAGTCCCTTGACAAGTCATACCGACTCGCTCATCGCTTGGGTGTGAAAGACAAGGCTGGCACACTGCAAGGAATAGGGGCCACATGCATGATGGAGGTCGAAACAAGCGGTTGACTGGCCCCTGGAGCGGCTGCAGGTACCGTTAAGCCCGTGGCCCAGCGTCCCGCATGGCCCTCCTCGACCGGTTGCCTTTTTGGCAGAAACCGCCTTCACCGCCTGTTTGCCTGTCACTTCTGTAAGGTTTCTGTCTGGTATTGGTATTCCTAGAACGATACAACAAGGACGAGGAATGCGGCTGACATCGTATGGCCCATGCTCTTGGCTGTGGAATGCGCAAGATCGGCCTAGGCTAGCCTTGCGAGGGACATCGTCGAGCCTCGTTGGCATACAAGGCATCCTCAGAACACAAAGCGCGCAACGCCATCTGCAATGCGCTGTCGGGAATGCATCAAGTTGACTCCGGACATCCTCAAATGCGATGGTGAACCCGTACCTTTCCACGACAGCTTTGCCGCGTTTGAGGCCTCTGCGAGATCAGGATGTGAGCTCTGCACGGTCCTGTTTTGGAACATCCAAAAGTTCCGATGGGGACGGGATGAGCGGCTGATACGGCACGCTGAACTTGCCAGGTCCTCTGATCCGTTGGCTGTGCGCTGGTATGACATGGGAAAGATCTTCACGGGACATGTCGTTCAGGGTTTAGAAGTCCTCTATCGCAACATGGGTCGCAAGAAACGGTTGGCCTATTCTGTTCTTCAGGATCCTGCTGAAGTTGACCTACCTGGTGAGTGAAATCAAGGCTCCTCTCTTGATCGCGGCTTAGGTGCTTTATCCTTTCCAGTCCCCAACTCAGCAAGGCTACCATCGTACACGGAAACGATCCACGCATGGATGCAGCTTTGCGACACGGAGCACAAGACATGTCATACCCACAGCGCCCAGCAGGCAACCAACCCAGCCCGGCCTGCCCGCCTGTTGGATGTTCAGCCTGAGGAGCTGATCGATGACGTGCGGTTGGTGCGCTTCGAGGAGGCTAAGGGCCCTTATGCTGCACTCTCATACTCGTGGGGTGACCGGCCGCATGCCGCGACCACGACGTCTCTGAACATCCGGCAACGAATGGATTCGATCTCGCTGAGCGATCTCCCAAGGACTTTCACAGATGCAATCGCCTTCTGCCGTGAGATGAACGTTCGCTACCTGTGGGTGGACGCCCTCTGCATCATACAGCCGTGGCCAGGAGATGTGCTGGGCCTGCAAGACTGGGAGACTCAAAGTGCAATCATGGGTTATATCTATGCCAATGCAATCTTCACCATAGCAGCACAGGGAGCCGCAAACGCCGATATAGGCCTGTTTCCGGACAAAGCACCCTTCGATCTCAGCCCCCGATCCTGCCCTCTCTTCCTTAACAGAGACGGTTCGTCCCTTTATGTAAAAGCCGAGCCAGCAGAGTGGGTGGCATCTGTGGGTGAGAGTGCTCTCCAGCGACGAGCATGGGTCCTTCAAGAGAGACTGTTGTCCACCAGGCTGATCCATTTCACACAGCATGGTATCTTTTGGGAATGTGCTGAGCGCTGTGCATCCGAGTTCGAGCCCGGCAGCACCGAAACGGGTGGCCTACTCACCCTGTCAGTCATGTTTCCGCCTACAAGCGGTCCAGAGAATGCAGTAAAAACGAAGAACGACATCATGCTCGAGTGGACTGGCATCCTCGCGGACTATAGCGAGCGGAACCTCAGCGTCGTCACGGACAAGTTTCCGGCCATTTCCGCCATCGCACAACGCGTCGCCCTCTTGACGGGCGATACATATCTTGCGGGAATGTGGAAGTCACGCTTGTTCGACGATCTGCTCTGGACCGGGATGTGGAAGTTCCCGTCTTTTCGACAACGGCCCTCCGAATACGTGGCCCCAACTTGGTCTTGGGCCTCCGTCATTGGAAAGACCTCGCACAACGCGGTCGGTACTTCTGACCGGCGAGTGGCGCGAGTGGTGTCCGTCTCAGTGAACCTCGCGAATCCTGCAAACCCCTTCGGCCGAATTCAGCCTGAAGCCTCATTGCAGCTTGCAGGACGTATTCGGCATAATGTGTTTGCCACTGCGCATGACACGGCGGAAGACGACGCGCCCTGGCACGACTTATGGTTCGAAGTCCCCGAAGGCCATGCTCTGGCAAACATAACAGGCGAGTTGAAGGGAGCCGCCAGACACAGCGGCGTCGCGGCGGTGTGGTTTGACGTTGCTGGCGACCACGTTACTCAAGCGTTCAGTGCTTTGTTGATGACTGGGAACAGCAGGAGAGACACATGGGATAGCGATACGATCGTTCCGGACCCGGAACATCAAAGGATCAGCTCCACGGCCATGCTTATCATCCCAGACGGTGGTGACAGCGGTCGATATGTGAGAATTGGACAGGCCAATATCAGGGACCTTAATTTCTTTGTTGGCTGCCAGGAGGAGGTTGTTGAGCTCTTTTGAGGTTGTGCAGCACCCAACTGATGCTCCGAACAGATGTTGGGCGATGTATCGACGAGTTGGCGTCACCAACTAGCTAGCTATAGGCGTGATCCTGCTCATGATAGATCCAATCAGATGCTTTCGATCACATTCTCGGACGGGGGCCGGGGAAGCGCTTGGAACATCTCGACTCTCGAATAAGCAACAAAAGCATAGCATCAGAGCCTCTCACCCCCAGCAACATGATGGATACGAGGGAGCTAATTACAACCCATGGTGAGCAATATACTTAAGTCTATGTAGGAAAGAAAATGCGGATATCGTAACGAGCCACACGCGGCGTCTAGGACCACGTCTTAACACTGACCGTACCTGGAGGTTCTGCCTACTGCTCTAAGACAGAAGCAGATCGCTTCATCTATTTGGTGTTGCTAAGCTTGGAGCCACCACCTAAGAGCAAGCTCTTATCACAAAGACGGGTATTGCCAATCGTCATCGCTTAGCCACCAACGATAGTTTCAAAGCAGATGTTGGTAAAGTCTGAAGCATTCACCCTCATCATGCACACAGACGTTGCTTGTTCATGGAAATGGGACAACGGTTTTTTGTCGGATGGAAGGAATCGGCGAGGAGAGCCGGATGCACAAGGCTGAGAAATTAGGCTAGACCAAGATAGGAAAGACCAGCCGAGACCAACAGGGCCACAAGGCTGCGCTGTTTGTGGCTACGTAACCGTCCATTTCGCCGCAAACAGGGTCGCCCAGACGCCTCAACGCTATCTCAAACATTTCTACTGGTACAAGGTCACTCGCTTTCCTACACCCACCTAATTACCCCTTCTCGTCCCTCGTTCCCCCTCTTCGGCGTGACCGCAACGACTTCTCTCCCCGTTTTGTTCTCGCGAGCTGGCTGGTCTCAGGCGTGATCTGATTCTCGAAGCATGTGATGAAAGACCTTCGCAATGGTTCACGGCGAAGATGAACGCTTTGGAATCGTCCTGGATGCTGGCTCATCCGGAACACGAATCTACATATATCGATGGCTCGGAAACTCGGTCGCGCGTCTCGAAGCCTCGTCCCCCGCTACCCTCCCAGAGCTAGAAACAAAGGACAAATGGACGAAGAAAGTCCACCCAGGAGTATCGACCTTTGGGGGAACACCCGAGCTTGTTGGCCCAGATCACTTACAACCGCTCCTCGAACACGCTCTCAAGTATATCCCCCAAGATGCCGTCCCTGAGACTCCTATCTTCCTCCTCGCGACAGCGGGCATGCGCCTCCTGCCCGACCACCAACAAAAAGCCCTTCTGCGGAACATATGCTCCTACATTAGATCCGAGACGGAATTCTCATTACCCGATTGTGATGGCCATATCCAGGTGATAACAGGAGAGACGGAAGGACTGTACGGGTGGATCGCAGCAAACTACTTGCTTGGGGGATTCGACTCGCCTGAAGACCATCAACATGGAAAAGGACACCACACGTATGGATTTTTGGACATGGGTGGCGCCTCTGCTCAGATTGCCTTTGCGCCCAATGCGACCGAGGCCGAGAAGCACGCCAACGATCTTACACTGCTGAGACTAAGGACAATCAATGGCCTGCCACAAGAGTACAAAGTGTTTGTAACGACATGGCTGGGTTTCGGCGCAAACGAAGCCCGGCGCCGCTATGTTCAAGATCTTGAGGAATCCTACGCCATTGATGGCGTCCTCGAGGTTCCCGACCCGTGTCTCCCAACTGGTCTGCGACTAAACTTCGACGGCACCATCATCTCCGACGAGGGTCCGTCTTCATCGAACCATTATCTTCGTGGTGTGGGCAAATTTGATGAATGCCTAAGGCGCACGTTCCCCCTTCTGGAGAAAGACATCCCCTGTCCGGATGAACCTTGTTTAATCCATGGCGTCCATGTCCCTGCGATAGATTTCGAGGTGAACCATTTCATCGGGATCAGCGAGTACTGGCACACCACACACGAGATCTTCGAGATGGCGCACAAGGACAAGGCATATGATTTCAACACGTACCAGCAGAGGGTAAAGGAATTCTGTGAGCAGGACTGGTCAGATATCCAACAGAGCGTGGCGGATCATGTCTATGGCAAAAAGGTTGACGACAAGACCGCACTGGAAGTCTGTTTCAAGGCGAGCTGGCTCATCAACATGCTTCATGACGGGATCGGAATTCCGAGGGTGGGCCTAGAGGATACAAATGTGTCGGACCATAATGGCACGAAGGAAGTCTTACAGAGCGGGAAAGACAAGGGATTCCTCGATCCTTTCCAAGCCGTGAATGAGATTAAATCCACCGAAGTGAGCTGGACCATGGGGAAGATGCTCCTTTACGCCTCAGCGGAGATCCCACCCGCTTCCAAAGACGTTTTGCCCGTCGGATTTGGGAGCAATGTCCCTGGCGTTCCGGACGATTTCCAATACCCCAGTGGCGGACGCCTCCAATCTATACCGGACCCGGGCCCGGGCTCATCAGACACAAGCGGCGGAGTCCAAAGCATCACCGACACCATCCACGACACACTGTTCAAGTCAGACGCGCCGCATCGCCTCCCAGGCTTCATCTTTTTCCTCCTCATCCTCATCATCGCGACATTCTACCTCTGCGGTCGAGACCGGCGGTCGCGAGTCTACCGCTCCATATACCCCTCCTATTCACCCTCGATCCCTTCGTCGGCCCCAACATCCCACGCCTTCTCACCGTCACCGTCCACCACACCGAAACTGCGCAACCCACTTACATTCCTCAATCGGCTGATCAACGGCCGCAAAGGCCCGCTTCACCACCATTCGCACGACCTGGAAGACCAACGCCTCTACAACCCCGCCGACTTCGAGTTGAACGACTTTTCCGACGACGAGGGCGGCCTCCTCGACGCAGACAAAGCCTTTGGACACTCTCGCACGGCGTCACGCCCGACGTCCTCGCATGGCCGGTCCTCCTCCTCGCCGCGAGATAAACGGAGTCCCAACGGTACCGGAGGCGGCGGCGGCGGCAGTCCCGGCAAATTGAGGCCCGCGGCCATTGATCGTGCGGGCCTAGTCGTCCGCACGGAGAGTCGCGAGAGTCTGGCCCCGTTGGCCGGTGCGAACGGGCGGAGTAAGAGTAAAAGCCGGGGTGCGAGTCCTACTCGTGCGCGATGATGACCATGAGGGAGGCTATGTACTTGGTATGGTTGTAGAGAAAAGGAACGAAACGAACGAAAACGAACGAAAAGTGGTGTGTTCCTCTTGCTTCGATCAGAAAACGCGATGAATGTATAGCGCATTAATATGAACACGAATACATATAATGTAAATAAATATACACGCGAAGTGAAAAATGAAGACGATACGATGGCGATGACGATGACAAAGGCTCAAATGCAGATGAAGAGTAGATTGAGAGTCTTCATGTTTTGATCGACCCGTGACGATACGACCCGAAACGCCATTGCGCGCCCTGCTGTGTACGGAGTACGGAGTACGGAGTACAGTACAGGTGGTATCTACAGGCACATTATCTATTCCGTGCTGACTATAATAATCCCATCGCGCCCATATAGGCATGTTCGTGTCGTCGTACCGTCAGCCATTCATTCATCGCTGCACGCATGGCTGCATGCATGTCACCCACCGTCTATCAATCACCCCTGTCCCGCGGGCACACCACCTCCAGCGTCAGCCTGTTGTTTCCTCACAGGACCGTACTTTGGACCGGGCAATTTAAACTCCGGGATGGTCTCAACGTCCATGCCTATGCCCATACCCTCGGACACCGTGACGGGCTCTCGAAGCGGCATGAGCAGACTGGAGCTCGTCTTGCCTGTGCGGACCCTCACTTCCTTCCCATTGCCATTGCCACTGCCATTGCCGTTTGTGGTGGTGATAGAGGACATCGACGCGCCCATGTGAGGCGACGATGAAGATGCCGCCGCCGCCGCCCCGTCACGCAGACTGGCCTGGGGCGCGGGCAACAACATGGCTGTGACTTCCTTGTAGAAGTCGTCGAGCTGGGCGACGTCCTGGCAGAAGGACTCGATGTCGTCTTTGATTTGCTCCGGCGTGACGTAGTGGGTGAGGCCCGAGGCGATGAGGGCGCGGCGCGTGCCGAGCACGTCGGCTGTGATTTTGGGGGTCTGGGGGATGGCGACGTGGGTGTTTGGGATGGGTTGGTACTGGTGGTGGTGGTGGTGGTGGTGGTGGTTGTTGTTCATGGTCGGGCCGATGAGGCTAGAAGTGCTCGAGGGGTTGGTGCCGTTGCCGGTGCCGGTGGCGGTGTCGAGTGATGAGGAGGTGCGCGTGTCGAGCATGGTTGGCGGGATCGGCGTCGATTTCAGCGGTCGGATGAGCGGTGATGCGTACGGCCCTGTACGTGGCGATTGGACGTTCAGGCCGATGATGCCCGACGCTTGCATGCTCGGTGGAGGTGCGGAATACGTCGACGTGAGAGTTTGGGGTCGCATGAGCATCGAGCTGGATGTGTTGGGTGTCAGATTGTCCTTCTTGCTGGTGTCGAATTTGGACGTTTCCTTTGCCGAGGCCTGCCGTGAGTTGTATAGCCTGTTCGCAAGGAGGAGAAAGTCTCCCTCATCAGTGATTTGAGCGAGACACACGCCAGACCGATGCACGAACTGCGTGTATCGATAGTCCAGATCGCCCCAAGAGTACTTGATCTCGACGTTCTCGGGAAATTCGGACGGTGCTTCGAGATCGAGCACGAAGTTGAAGCGCTTCAGCAGGGCTTTCTGGTAGAAATGGACGTCCTCCTTAAGAGGTGCCTGGGGTCCGAATGCCACGGCCGTGAAGTACATCGAGGTGGCTGCACTGCGGCGAGGTGGATCGAGTGCAAGCTTGACCCGGTAGGCAGCACGGAAGGGTTCATGCTCTGGAACCTTGAAAGCTTCTGCAATAGGCACTTCAACCAGCTTGAGGCCGTATTTCTCCGCCTGGGTCGTCCAGCCGACAATGGCATCGTCGACCAACTTGGACGTGGTATTTAGCCAGGAGAGCTCGAGATGATAACAATTCTCGGGATTGTGGATTCTGTCGTAGTGCAGGTTGACAATCTCCGGCTTGTTGGACCGTTTCCGCGTGTCTACGTCGATACGGATCATCTTGCTCAACGTGACAGTCCGCTTCTTCTTGTCTGCGAGTGTCTTTGCGAGCTCCGAGGCAGCTTGCCCGTGGACCGCCAGATTGGAGCCTGAACGGGATCTGCCACCCAGAAATTCACGATTAGGCTGCTCAATCGCTGGGGTAGGGGGAATCGATCGCTCTGAGCGACGGCTTGCGGGAAACCATGATTGTCTCGCATCTGGTCGCTGCGTTCGATATTCCGGTTTGATGGAGTAGAAATAGTTCCCGTCCTTGAAGTTGTGCTTGCTGTTGACGTGCTCGAAGAGGTTCTCCTTCATGAGCTCATTGCCGAGCTCTACAGCCTCTTCTCGGGTGTCAATATCCCTGAAGTTGTGCACGAGCCAATTGGTGAGATCTTCGCCCATGAAGCAGCTGTAATGGAGTCGCCAGTGCCACCTTCTCGTCTTGATCTCGATGCCATTCTCGCCTTGTAGTGCCTGAGCTAGTTTGGGTAGGGCGAACGAATCTCGGTCAAACTGTTCCGCTTCCGGTAGCAGCTGGGTATTCTGGCTCTCTCCGGCTTCCTCGGCCGCAACAAGCTTGTCGAGCTCGGTGGCCACCAGCTCGGATGGATTGAGGGTCTCAAGATTGATTCTTAAAGGCTTCCGATCCTTCCTTTTCATGGTGCTGAGGCGGTTGTGCGCTGGTCTTCGCTCGTCCAGCGGGACATATCGAGCTCTCTGCCACATTTGGGTCAACGCCCGGATGCCACGCAGATGGATTTCTTCTTCGCTTTCCTCAGGCTCGGAAGATGCGGGCCTCCAAGAGTTTGCCGGCGGAGCTACAGGGATGAGCACGAACCGAGCACGCCAGAAACGAAGAGCTTGCACATCCACATCGGGCTGCCTCTGCAGATTTTCGAGATACTTGTCAGCTGCCTCCCATGGATATTGCTCGGAGAAGCCACTAAACTGCATGTCTCGAAGCTTGTACGCCCCAGAGAGGATGGTCCGGATGTTGGGGTAATAGCTGATGTGTTGCGGAGCCGAAGGTTTGACTGCTGGTTGTCTCCGGAGATACTTGGTCACCTGGAGACGATCATTTTGCTGGAGCGATATCTTCTGTATCGTGTTGCCCATCGACATGACAATGAACGACCCATCGGGCCTTACCAGGTTAGGTGTGAAGAAAGAAGAGCTGTCGCACGTACCCGGCCCCACGGCCTCGAGCAATGCAGGACCGACGACTAGTTGGTAACCGTGTGCAAATCTCAGAGCCAGCATTTCACGGAGGAGAATATCACGAGACTCAGGTTCCTCGAGCAGCTCGTTTGAGTGGGTCAGAGTCAGCTCGTAGGTCGCAGAATCAAAGTCCATTTCAAGCTCGTCCCTGGTTGGGAAGTCTTCTGTCGTCAGTGGAACTGAAGCAGGTGTACACAAAGACCTCCATTTGACGGTTGCGGCACGAGGCTTGCGAGGATATAGATGCTGCCACCTGCCATAGAGTGTCTCTCTTTCAGGATGCCTTTTCAACGGATTCGACGCATTCACATTGCGGACGAAGGGGAGCGCACTCTTGGGCACAGAGCTGGCCACTGACATCCCGAGCTGGCTATCGGCTGTATCCACACCGTCTGAGCTATCTGAAATGTCGCTCTCTGTAGAGACTGATGAGTCACTGTCGGATTCGTGCTTGGACCCGGCGTCGGCTTGGGCGACGGCGATGTGATCATTAAGCCGCCGTGCCGTAGAATCCGACCCTTGGGACTCGCCGAGTCCATCAGCGCGCACCTTACGCAACGGGGTGTTGATCGAGATCGGCTTTGATGGAGCGTTATCCAGACGACCCTGGAAACGAGGAGATCTCTGCGAAGCCGCAGGGCTTACATTGTTCTTCTCAGTGAGCACACTGTTAGTGGAGACAGAGCGGATGCTGGCGGCTGTTGTAGCCACGGTCGGTCGTGAATGCCCTGGGTTACCGAAAGGCGGTTGTGCCTGAGCATTGGTAATATTGACTTCGGTACTAGCAACAGCACGGATAGGAGGAGCCAAACCCCGTAACGCATAGTTCAGGGTGCGATTGACCTTTGCAGCCTCGGGCGTCTTCTTGATCGTCATGCTGGAGCTCGAAGCATCTGCCGAGACGAGAGAGGGCAGCTGCGGTCGAAAAGGCGAGTTCAGAGACTTATTCGTGAGTACCTTCGTCAGTCCTGACCCGGATTTGGGTGCTTTAGTATCTGGTTGAGACTTCTCTGAAGAGTTGGGCGGCGCCGTACCGATAACCGCTGAGGCACGACCCTGTGCCTTGGGTGCTTTCGAAGCGGCTTCCGAGTTGAGCTGCGTCTGAAATAATGCCGAGTCGTATTCGTCCATCCGGTCAAATACGCTCCCAAATGCTTTGGCATGGGAGGAGAGCAGTCCCGGAGCCGGGCGCCTCGGCTCAGCACTGAGACGACTCTTGCGCGATAGAGTGGGAGAGTGCGACAAACTGCGACTCCCGCTCGTACGTTGGCGTTTTGAGGTCCTGCGTTTGACCCGCCCAGCAGCCGCACCCTGGGTCTCTGTCATGTACGGTATGCTCATATCCGCCATGCCCAGTTCCATGAGACCCATCATCTGAATCTCATACATCCTGACTCGAGGGACAAAAGGACCCTTCTTACGCCCCGACGCCGGTCCCGTAATCTTGCTTGGACCTTCTACTACTTTGACCTCCAGGGGCTCGATGTCGGCCGACCAGTACGAGAGATCAATCCACTGAGGTATGCCGTAGCTCCACCCCTGAAGCCCATCATTATTCCGTCCTGACATAAAGCTCGCAAAAAATCGGGTGCTGTTCGTGGCCGTGGATGAGACTGCCGGTGACAGTTTCCTGGGCTGGACAGAGTCAAAGAAGCTGGTGCTAGATGAGTAGTGGCGATCCTGACTGCCGGCATCTTCAAACAGTGAAGACAGAAGTGGTTCTTCGGCTCCGGATGAGCGATACTTGAACAGAGGCACAGAGTGCAGTGGCATCCTGGACAAGCAAACAATGTCAATGCCAACTCCATTGTTCGTCAAGTTTTGCGATGTCAGGTTGAGCAAATCTCGGTTGACTTCGAACACTCCCGTGCCAGCGGTGACGACCACAATGGAGACCCCGGTGCGGATCAGGTCTCGATCCTCAAAGTCGTGGGCGAATTGAGTACTGGCAATATTGATGGCTTCTAGGATGTTCCCTTTCATGGCGGTACTTGGTCTTCCAGCAATGCGTACCGGGCGAGCCTTGGTATCGTCCTCGATAATGTCATCGTGGTTAGATGTGTGTAGGGAGATGTCTCTCAGAAACACACGAAAGTCTTTCTTCAGCTCATCCAGAATTGTGGTCCATTGCGCACTAGCCATATCCGTGACGACGACGCGATAGAAGTCCTGGTACTGCCGAGCCGTCATGTTCGGCGCGCCAGATGCCGGCGCCACTTCGAGTCTCCTGTCCTTGTTCCGCGCGAGGTCGACCTTGTCGTACTCCAGGCGCCCAAAGAGTACAATGCTGACAAGGTGTCGTACTTCGAGATCCGTCCACCGCTTGAAGAGGTCTGGTAGGAAGCCGTTGATAACCTTGTTGAACATGATCTCTCCGTCGCCCTCGGAATCGAAGTCCCACATTTCGCTTGACATTTGGATGAAGAGCACATAGCGTGCAGCTTCACTGCGGAAGATGGGGATTGTGGTGCCCGCGAAGAACGCCGTCGAAACCCTGTGATGATGCACATGGATCGCTTTGACTGTAAGTTTGATCGTGCCCATGTAGGTGATCCTCTGCCCGGCATAGACTGTTCTCCCAGCCAACTCCTGCCCGACCAACCGCCACATGTCCGACCTGGCGAGGTAGGTGTCCCTGAAACTGAATTCAACATGAGATGCTGTGCAGTCCTCGAAAGAAGCGGGGACTATGCGGACATGGGACCGTGGCCGGAAGCCAAAAGCCGTCGCAATGTGACCCTTGATAGAGACCTGCAAATTAGCTTGCTTCGCCTTGAACTCAGCAGGCGCGAATTTGGCTATGCAGAGGTAGTGATCCTTCCAGCCAGGGACGCCATCGCCGTCCGTCAGAGGTCCGGTATTGCGCCTCGAATCGCCTTGCTCCCCGTCTGGCGATTGGAAGTCACGGACATCGGACGTCTCTGGAGCCGGGTATATTCTGATCAGGCTGCCTTCGCGGATAGCCAAGTCTCCCACAACGGATTCGTTGATGAGGACATCCTCCGGAGAGAAGTTGTCATCGTGGATCCAGAGAGAAGCGCGAACTGACGGTGGAGGTGGTGGTGCCGACTGAGCGCTCAGCGATGCCCGCAAGGTCGAGCCGCTACTGGTTCTCCGATGTGCCGTCTTCTGTTCCATGGAGGGGCGCGTCTCGATCTCATGGTCGGCCGTGACGGAAAATGTCGAAGGGTTGTTGATGCTGAGCTCGAGACGAAGATGAACCAAGTCGTCGAGCCACACGCCAAGCCAAACACGCAACCACGTGACGTGCAATGACTGGCGGGGTCCATGGGCCTTTGATGGCAGTTGCGCTGGGTGTCCGTCCCTTCCAACGCATCCCCGTTGGAAAGCCCGATGGATATCGAGGCTCTCGGGTCACAGACACAGCAAACGGCTCACGGCACGGTTCAAGATTCTGCTTCATTCGCCTGCGTCCAAAGCATTTCTACTACTAACACATATCTGCTCTAAAGGGTATCATCGGTGTCGGCACAGTGGCCACATACAGAAGGGGGTTCGTCAGTCGTCATATGTACAGCCCGGGTCCGCGGTGCGTGTCCCAGGCGCCCCTTCTTCCTTCTCACCATACGCTCCTCGTTTCGACGTTGAGGAGCCACTTCTTCACTCCTTCGCGCAAGACATTGTCCTGCTTCATTTCTTGCTCCACCGCATTCCCATCGAGGGTGACCTGGCCATCGGCACCACGGCGGCGATGATGTCTGGCCAAATCATCATTTACACTTTTTACCACTTCCTCCAACGCTCCAACAACGGCTTGCCGGCAGCCTGACTGTGCCGTTGTAGATGCAGGATGCCAAGCCCGGGTTTTCCCAGAACCAGAAATAGCCAGTGGCATGGATCTGGCAGAAGTAGTCGTAGCAGCAGACGCAGTACGCGAATGTGTCCTGGATGTTGCAACCGGCTTTTGCCTCACCGCCTCGGTCTCATTCAGGACACGTTCGATCGCGTCTGTGAGCGTTGTGTCAAAGTCCATGACTTTCTCATGTTCGAACCGCTCGACAGTCATAATTTTGGCACGTGACTGGCGTCTTGACGAAGCCGCTGAACCAGAGATCCCTTCTGCGTTTGGATCAGCCCCGCTAACTGCCGGCTCATCGGTCAAATCCTCCCTATGCATCATGCGTTTCAAGGTCAGGCGTTGAATCGTGAAAGTGCGGAAATCTGCGAGTAGAGTCGTACAAACATGAGACCATCGTTCCTTGCTCTGTTGTTCTGACAGTGGGATACAGCACACGTCCGTGAGGGCCTCTTCTCTCGACATGCTCTGCTCTACTTCAGCTTGGAGCTCCGGGTAAGCTTTGACGCCTTGGAGAACGAAATCCTCGTGGTACCGCTTTAGATAGCCTGCGACTTTGGTAGGATTTGAGCCCGCGGCTTCGACGCCGAACGAGCGGGAGCTGTACGACGACCCACCTTCGTCCGTGCTTGCGAAGGAGGGAGAATGGTGTTGCAGTGACGACGAAGGAGATTTCCCATCATTCCAGCTGATGAACCCTGGAAGGTTCAGGTCCACGTCGATGACACCGTCTTTGTCGTCGACCGTCAGCTGTGGAGGGCGTACCTCACTCGGATCGATGGAGGGATGACGACCCGCTGTGTGCGCCATTCCATGATCCGTTGTCTCCTGTCGCAGACGAGTGGCTTCGTCAACCATGGCTTCCAGTTGGCTGGGCAGTCTCCCCTGGATGGGTACTGATCTCGGCGCAAGCCTGCGGCGTTCGCTCAAACTCCCCGTGGCTGTTGTGCTGGAAATCTCACTTGATAGACCCGTAGAATCTTGTCTTTTGCTCCAAAGTCCAGAGACATTGCTGACCAACGATCCCCAATTGATGCTCGGCGGTCTGGAGCGGGCGTGACTAGTGCTATCTCGTCGGAGTATTCTTGCAAGATCCGCCTCCGCAACAGTTGTGTCGCCATCGACAATAACGGTCTCAGGGAAGTAACTGTCAGTCTTTGTCGCAAAGTGTGGAACCGGAGTTCCCAACCCAGAAGTCGCTGTGGAACTGGTGGCATTTGTTTTGTGAGCTTGCCCTTGCCCGTCGACCGGCGCGAACACCGAGGTCTGTCTGCTGGAGCCGGGCTCGATTTCGCTGCGCGAGACGGGCAGACGAGTATGACTGCGAATTGCTCGAGAGATGGCGCTAACACTTTCGGAGGATGAGTCGCTGGTGGAGAGCCCGGAGATATCACGACGAGGGAACGAGACAGGCCCGTCGCGGGACTTGTTGTGAGCATGGCGACGCAAGGAACCTTCATGGAGCCCTCTATTTGCTGGTGACGAGGAGCTGATGTCGGGCGTGAGGAGCGGCGAAAAGAAGTCGCTTCCTTGCTTGGCGAGCGCATTGCGTGGCAGAAATGAAGCAAGTAAAAAGATTATACGGCGCGCCGTGGAGCGATTATCGCAGATGATGACGGTCCGAGATGCAAGACTGCTGTGTGGAGCTTTTCCTTTGTGCAACGCACGAAACTGTTTGCGATACCGGTCGGGCCCTAACCTCTCCAGCCATTCTGTGTGGCTGCCCAGGAACGCCGTCAAGAGGTTGAAGAGGAAGAAATTCTGCTGCCTAGTCCCACAAAGCCGTACGAGATAGCGAGCTTCATCCAGCCAATGACCGCCATTATCAAGACCCAAACCAGTCAGCACACGTGGAATGCGCAAGGCATAAGAGATACGCCACAAGGTGTGCTTGGCAGCGCGTTGAAGATCTGTAAACTGGCTCAACTGGTTTGATGTCCGAAGATAGATATTGCGCTGGTTTGTACGTTGTTCATAGGGGCCCTTGGGCGCTTTGGCAGCAGAGCTTATCAAGGCAAAGTCGACCTCCTGAAGAAGCCCGCTGATCTTGTCGTGCGCCAGTGCCTCGATTACAGCGAGGCTCCTTAGTATAACGTCCCAGTTTCGGACCACGATTTCCATGCCCTTGTCGGTCAGGTAGCTCGATCCCTCATCGGTCCACAAATGCTCCGGGATAGCATTCAGGAATGTCCATGACGAGAAAGACCCAGACGCTTGAGAGTTAGGAGTCGATGACGCTGTAAATGAGGCCCTTGACGGGGGGCGTGCCGAAGAAGTACTAGGGCGCACATCCCCAGGGCGAGGTAGATAGAAAAGCAGGCCCATCGCAAATACTGGTGTCTTCTTCTCCACCAGCTTTGGTTTCTTAGCCTGTATCGGGGAGTCGGCCTGCTCACCCTTCTTGCTTGACATCGGACTAGGTGAGCTGCTTTGCCCAGCAGAGGACCCCCTATGGTGCCTTATATCGTCCTGCGCCTCGGGGAGGGCAACGGGAAACATACGAGTAACTAAGATGGCATCCCGCGTTTCAGGATCTGGTACCTTTACACTGGATGTTGAAGTATGGGTATTCTCAGCATTTATAGCCGTTTTTGCTCTCACCAGAGGGGTACGAGAAGGTGCCGTGGCCGGAGCATTGGATGTAGGCGTGCGCGGACTTAGGTCGCTCAACGGGCTCCGGTCACCTGGGAGGAAGTGCAATTTGGTGCTGGATCCGGATTTTGCTGCACTGCTTACACCAAACATGCAGTCGAGGATATTGCTGAGATGGTCCGTGGTTTCCGACTCTTTGTTGGTGCGCGTCCAGGATGCCGGCCCTCCCGAGATGGTTGAGCTCCTGTTCCTGAATTGCCCCATTACGGGAGTGCCAGGACCTGCACGAGCCGCTTGTCCAGCAGGCTGAGACAGATTGCCCGTCCTCTGAGCAGTGCTCGAGTCTCTAGCGTCGACCGGGTGAGTGTCGAACAGCAGCAGAGGACGGTCATTTGTGCCGAAAGCATCCTGCGCCACAATGAGTCTCAAATCTCTTGTCTCATTCCATTCCAAGCCAGCACGGTCATCGAAGGGCGAGATGCGGACTGTAGGAGAGCCAAAGGGGGTGGTAGGCGGCGAAGCTGAATTCGACCGTCCCTCAAGATGGACTTCCGGCCACAGAAGGGTGCGTGTATGTGTCTCATCTGTCGCACTTTCGAGCTGGCTGCCTCTGGCATACCCTTGAATCAACCTCCCCAGCATCTCAACTGACTACCACTGCCACCAGGACCACCGTCGAATCTTCAAAGAAGTCAAGGCGCCGTTGGCCGGCAGGATCTCGCGAGGGTCGAGGTAGGGAGAGCGTTGCGAACAGGGCTATTTTGGCGCAGACGTCGAGACATGTTGTGAATGATCTGGCTGTTGCTGCCCTTAGAGCAGTGAACCAGAAGAGAAGAAGCAGTAAGGTCACGCCTCACTGCTGTAGTGGTCTGACTTGCTCTGACTCTTGCTGTCGCATCCCGCGGTTCGCTTTGGAGAAGGACGGGCGACGGACGTGGACGGAGCGGAGCGTCATCTCCAAAATCCAAAATTACGGTGAAGAAAACAAGCCACTAGCCGCTAACCACATCGGGGTCGGCTCCGGGAACCGCACGAGGTGCTCCAACTCCGATCAAACCTCATCGCAGCACAACCACCACGAACAACCAAGTCAATCTGCGACATGTCGTTCGAAGGACCGGCGCCCATGTGCTTGCGACTTAGGCATGGGCAAGGCGTTCTCGTGAAAGGGGTGCTTGCTTCGCGATATCATGGTCTCGTCCAAAAGTTGGATCAGGTAAGGTTTTGTGGAAGCTCCGGCTGACGGAGATCTACAGCAAGAAACTCACAACCTTCATGGTTGGCGCTGAAGCACCCGCTGGTCTTCGAAGGTAATGCATTCGTTGACATGCTGGGAGACGCCGTGCTAAACAAGCCCATGCGTTGTATTGCGTTGCGCTGTGGTGCGTTGTGTGTCCCAAGCGGCCGTCGAGCAGCAATGCTTCTCACTTCCGCTTCACTGTACACCATCACCTCTTCCTCTTCATCACTTCAATCCCACCTCCTCGCATCTCACCTTCTTACTTTAGATTCACTCTCAACCTCGCTCGGTCTTCATGTTCCTGTCGACGACAAACTGGATGTTGCTACCTTTCATTATCACTTTACGAACATTCGATGCCAGGAAAGTGCACTGCCTGGTAGGTCTTTCCTTTTTCAAAGTATTCTGTCTTTGCCTTTGAGCGAATCATTCTTCTCTCACCGTCCTCAACGCAAAAATTCACATCGCAAGCTGTGCGACATCGGGCAAAGTGCGATGGATTCGCTAGCCCTCGCTGCAATCAATCCGCACTGCGACTACGTTGACCTCACTGGCGACTCAGTTGACGGCTCAGTCTGCGACGTCGAAATTCTTCCGCCAGGTGAGCCTGTAATCAAGCAAGAAGTACGTGAGGGAGTTATCAACATCCCCGATATCGGGTCAACCATGGCTGAGGCCGATGTCGAGCGACCTGATGCAGGCCTTCTCGAGCACCAGCAGAGGCCGAGCGACAATACAGCTGCGGAGTCTTGTGATGCGATTGACAGTGCAGCAATACAGCCAGGTAATCAGCTGGCCAGACCAAAGTCCGTCCAGATCAGCGATGGGAAAACGAGCTCTCCGACATCTCGCGGCTATTCCCCAGATGAGACAGTCGATATTGCCACCCCTGAGAAAAGCCTCAGAACTAACAGTTCTACGCTTGATCAGCTTGCTCATGACTCCATGGAATTTACATCCATACAACCCGACACCACTGCTCAACTCAACAACCCGGGACAAGGAGATGGCGTCCACATTAATAAGCCGCATCTCAACAGCAACGTTACTGACTCCCACGGGGACATGGAGTTCGAACCATTACCAATCTTTGACCCGTCTCCTAGTGCGGAAATAGACATGAGCGGTTTCGATGCTCTCATACAATACAACCAGAACAAGGCGGACCTTGCCAAGGATAGCGAGATTCTGGCGGCCATGACTCTAGACTATACTACCGGAGCCTATATCGACATTGCCTCCCCTCAGAACCCCACCGATTCGATCGCGGGAGAGCATGCAGAGCCATTAGGCGATCTGATCGACGATAACGGGGATATTTTTGACTGGAACACTACACTACACAAAGATACGGTAGCGGCTAACCAATCAGCCGCCACCGCCTTCGAGAAGCGTAAGAGGGAGTACGAGACGAAGAAGGCTGAAGGGACAAATACTCAAGAAGATGATATTCGATTCAATACAGAGGAGATTGCAGAACACCGTCGCCTCCGCGACATCGAGAGGAGCCAGATAGTGGTGGAGGATAGCCTACCACCCAACTATCAGGAGGAAGACTCTCTCTTTGTTCCCGAAGACCCTCAACCACTAGAACCACCGCAAAAGAAGAGAGCCGCGCCTAAGACACGAAATCGTCTTTCCAAGAAAGACATGGACGATGCCATATCCGCTGGCATCCATGCTGGCTTTGGGAAGGGTCGTAAGCCTAAGAGAAAGGCAAGAGCATCAAGTGAAGATCGTCAGCCGCGGAAGAGAAACCCAAGGAACAAGGCCAGTGGTATTAAGCCGCCGGCTCGAAAGCAGGGCCGGCAACGGCGACCGAACCTATCCAACATCGCAAGTTTAGGTCAAACCAACATTATAAAGGCTGCCCAGGCGAATGCCTTCTTACCCGACATGCCCACCTTTACAGCTACCAACAAGGTAAAGGCGCTTCAAGAACTTATCGCGAGTTTACCATCAGCTGAGCGAGGTCTTGCCACGAATGATCGAGCGGCCATCATAGAAGCTACGGTAAAATTCAGAGGTAGGGGTGCGGTTAGATCCGATGGCCAAGGGGGTTGGGTACTCAAAGGCATGGTATCCTCCCTATACCATCACCAGCTGCTTGGTGCTGCCTTCTTACGAGAACGAGAGAATGGCGAGTCGAAGCCTAAAGGGGGTATGGTGTGTGACGAGATGGGTTTCGGAAAGACAATCCAGATGATGTGAGTTTTATTGTCAGCTGCGCCTGACGAACGTCTGTCTTTGCTAACTTAACTTACCACAGCGCCAATATGATCGACGGTAGAGCCGAGCCTGGAAGTGCCATCAAGACGACATTGATCATCGCTCCGCCTACTTTACTCAACCAATGGATGCAGGAGATGGACACGCATGTGGAGGGCAATAGCCTTGGTCGAATCCTACGTTATCACTCAGGCTCTCGTTTACAGAGCAACAACGTCGTGGCCGACCTGATGGAATACGATGTCATTCTGACGACTTATGGTGAGGTCCAGAAGAGCTATCCCCTGTGCAAACCACCTAAGCACCTAGCCTCGGAAGAGAAGAAGAACGAGTGGTGGAGGAAGTACTATCACGACAATGTTGGTCCGCTTCACCGTATCAAGTTCCATCGCATCGTACTTGACGAAGCTCATCACATCAAGAACCATGCCTCCAAGACGTCGATCGCGGTCCGCGCTCTCACTGGCAACTTTAAGTGGTGTATCACGGGGACTCCGATTCTCAACTTTATTGAGGAGCTCTATCCCTACTTCGCCTTTCTCAAGGTCCCACACACTGGGACCTACCAGACCTTTTGCCACAACTACGCTAATAACCGCACAAGTAGCCGAGAGCCGGTCCAGATGGGCAGAATCCAAAATATCCTGCGGGCTATCATGCTGAGAAGGACCCACGTGAACACTCTCTTCGGTGCCCCCATTGTTAAACTGCCAGAGATCACGCACAAAACGGTTCTAGTCGAGTTCAATCCAGTGGAGCGGAAGATCTACAACATGGTGAAATCGAGGTACATCCAGCAAATTAACGCCTACTCGACGTCTGGGTCCTTGGTCCCCAACTATGGCAACATTCTGAGCATGTTGCTTCGCTTGCGGATGCTCTGTTCCCATATCCTACTTATCCAAGATGTGCTTAAAGATATGTTCACGGCTGCGGACGTTGAAACCCTCTGGCGCCTCACAGCCAGCGAGGTTCAAGCTAGTGACGACTCCGGCGAGCGGAACATGATCAAAACGCTCCGAAAAATGCTTGCGAAAGACGAGAACACTCTCCAGACATCGCAGTCTCAGGTCCTTACACTTACTCCAGCGACAACGCCGGAGATCCAGGACGAGAATGATATGGCGACCGGGTCCAGCTACGGTCTTTTTTTCAAGTTCCGCAAATTCCTCCGCAAGTTGTCCGACTCGGACACTTGGGCCGAGTTGCACCTTCGCTCAACGTGCGCAAAGTGCCGTTCCCCTCCTGATAACCCCGTCTGCACGTCATGCTTCCACGTCTACTGCCAAGAATGCATGATGGCGCTGCACGAAGAGCGCAAACTGCGAGGGGAGGAAAAGACGGCCTGCCTCGAATGCCAAAGCTACTTTGAGGAAACAACTGCCTGCAGCGGTCTTGCCGAACTGGGCTTCGGCAGCGCCGCGGTGCTGCCAAGGGTAATGAAGAAGAAAAGAAAGATGGCCAAGCAGTTAAAACGGGCCGAGAATGCCGCCATCGGAAGAAACGCCCGTGCTCGTCGCAGTAGCACTATCGACGACGCTGCTGAAGATGAAGACGAAGAGTATCAAGACTGGATTGAAGAAGGTGGCGGGTCGCTTCCTTCCGCAAAACTAGCCGCCACCAAGGCTGCCATTCTCAATTGGCGCGAGACACACCCCGGGCAGAAGATCATCGTGTACACCCAATTCCTGGACCTCGGCCGTCTGTTCAGTCAAGTATGCGTCGCTGAAGGGTGGGGCCACGTCAAGTTCAACGGCAAAATGAGCATCGAGGCGCGCGAAAAGGCGATTAGGAATTTCGAGCATAACCCCGACGTCTTCATCATGATTTGCTCTCTCAAGGCCGGCGGCGTCGGGCTCAACCTCACAATGGCTTCCAAGGTCATTATTCTGGACTTGTGGTTCAACTCGGCGATCGAAGCCCAGGCGTACTGCCGCGCCTTCCGCCTTGGCCAGGATCAAGTCGTCGACGTCCTCCGCTTCGTGGTCAAGGACAGTATTGACCAGGACTTGATCAAGATGCAGGATCGCAAGGACGTCGAGGTGCAGAGCGTCATCGGCCCGGAAATTCTCGGCAAGAGAGCGACAATCCAGCAGTTGCTCGGCCTGTTCGGCGAACTGAAAGAGGACGGTCAGAACGAGTTCATCCTCGTGGAGGAAGACGGCGAGGACGGCGAAGACGATCAGAACGAGAACCCCGCGACGAGGTTGCCCCCACGCCCGTTCTAAAATGCGAGCGAGACTAAGATTGATGAGTTGATGAGTTGATGAGCTTGCAGCGACGCTGCACGGACATTACTTGGAGACTGCGACGCCGGGCTTTTTTATACGGCGACTCTCAACGCCTTCGATATGAGCTAGAGCTACCGACATGTTTATGTCAGATTACCAGAGTTGCCTCAGATTTTTACTGCATACGAGCGCCATACAGACCAGCATGGAGCGGGCTGGCGGGATGCGAATCTCTCTTCTACTTCACTCTGCTTTTACTCTGCTCTACCCGAGAAGCTTGGAGATTCTTTCAAACACCTTTGAGGAAGCTTCGGACATAGCATCAGCATAGCATCAACATAGAGCAGCATAGCAGCATAGCAGAATGTATCTTCCTTGATCAACACATCACACTTTCACATACATCACATCACATAACACATTCTAGCATGAGAGGATAGAGTCTACTTGGCAGCAGGCAGATCGAAGGAAAAAGGTTCAGTCCATTTTCATGTTCATTTTCATTTTCATCTTCATACTCAGTCTCTCGCGCTCTTTTCTTCAATTTAGACCAGACAGTAGGGGTATCATATAAGAAAATGCAGAGTGCATGTAGTCTCCTGATGTGTAATGCTCCTGTCCCGAGGAATGACAAAGGGAACTCGTGCCGCCTTTTTCCGTGCTGATTGTTCTTCTCGACGCAGAAACAGCAAAGGGCCCATCTAATCGATGCTCTGTTGGAGGCCGTTTGGACTCGACTGGCCACATCAGCGCCATCAGCTTTGCTGGAGGGTGTACATATCCTGATCCCGGCTCCGAGCTCCAACCCTAGATTTCGACTCTTCCCAAATCTCAGTTCTGCTTCATGTCTTCTCACCGAGAGGCAGCCGTCTAGCTGCATCTGTCTGTTTGGTCTCTTCGCGTCCGCCTAGTGTTTTCTGTTCGTCGTGATTGCCTCGGGTTTCCCTCAGCCACCTAACTCGGCCATGGCTTCCTTCCTCTTCTCGAGCACCTCTTTCCTCACAATCTTCGTCCTCAGGCCCTCGCTCGCCTGGACCAGCGCGTCAATGCTAATAGCGTGGTTGGTCATGTTGTGGTTGATGTACGTGTACACCTGTGCCGCCGAGTCTAGTGCCAGGATTGCATTCTCGTTGAGCTTGAGCAACGCAAGGGCGAGTTGGAAGAGAAAGGGTGAACTCGTCCCGTCGTGCTCGTCAGAAGCACTGCCATCGGCGGGTTCTGGTGGGGGATGCGCTGGAGTAACGGGCGTTGACGGCGTACTCAAGTTGAGCGAGGGCAGGTCCACCCCGAGGGTGGGCTTGGATTGAGTCAGCGCATAGGGTGACGCATCCGAGCTATTCAGGCAGAGAATTACATCCCAAACTCGGTAAAGAGCTTCACCACCAGTCAACACACCGGTGTAGAGGGACAAAAACCAGTGGAATGTGCAAGCTTCCAATTCCACGCCCAACTCATCGAGTTTGGCACTCAGCTTTGGTAATACCTCTGCGACGTAGTGACGAAGGACCACTTGATCGGCACGAGCGACCAGCAACGTCGAACTGAAGTATTGGCTGGGCAAAATCACGTCAATGATGGCAACCAGCAGCCAAAAGCAATCCTCGGCGGTGGCGCAGATGAGCAGAAGTGAGGCGGTAATGAGGTTCATGCCTTGACAGTAGCCAATGCGCGGATTGTGCAAAGAGTATGCCCTCAACAACTCCTCCAGTCTTTGCACGCCAGGCCCGTGTCGAAAGAAGACGTTATCCGTCAACGTGCGATGCACGTCAGCCTTGATCTGACTGGCAATGTCAGGATCGATATCGGTGCCTTCTCTCGACCGTGCCACAAGATCTTCATAATAGCCTGGAATTCGTAGAGCACTGGCGCCAGAGCATTCCGCCCAGATCTTTGGTCGCAGTGAGACAGGGATACCACCGAGGACCAATGATCTGAAGTGCATGTACTTGGCTTTCGTCTTGGCAGAACGCCCCAGGGTTGCAATTCCGATCAATTCGCCTTCCAGCAGGTCGGCCTCGGGGGTGTTGTTGGTGGCACGGTCTGGATTGTTGGCCCTCTCTGCTCTGACTCGCCGCAGAAAATCGTTCCACCGTGCAGCCCTCTCGGATTGCAGTGCGTCATACAGCTCCGTGAGCTGTTCAAGGAGTAATTTTGCCGAAGTAGAATCGGCCAGATTCTCGGACTCGGATTCGAGGGTAAAATCTGTCGACGTAGCGGTGACTGCAGAAGACTGCGGCTCCATGACCACGCTGCTACTTGGAAGCGCCTTCTTCGAGGTGGCAGAGATAGAAATGGAAGCCTCCCGACTTCGTTGTGGTGGAGTCAGAGTCCCCGTCGCATCGGCGGTACTCACCGTGACAACAGCGCCAGCAGAGGGTGTATGCGAGAGTAATTCCTTCGGCCGCCCAGAGGACAGAGCTGCAGGAACCTTGAGATAATCTTGCCATGATTTCTTCGGCGTTTCATCGTCGATCGAAGCAGGAGTCGCTGGTCTGTCAATCAAGACCTCGCCAGACTGGGGACTTTCCCCTGATCTGAAGCTGGCTATGGTTTCATTGGCACTCAGCTTGTTCCGTCTATGCGCACGAACTGGCAGGCTCTGCCTCTTCCGCCGCTTCTGATCGTAAATGAAGCCGAATCGATCTGTCAGCAGTCCCGTGGCTTCAACGCTATGGTTCGTCATGGTCGGCGGCAATTGCGAGCTCTCAATCATAGAGTCCAGCTCAACGGTGGGAGGCAGGCTGCTTGCATTCGACTCTTTCCGGGTATGGCTTGGGCTAGGGGTGAGTCGACTGGCAGTAGGTACGCGTTTTGGTGGAGGGCGCCCCTTGACTGTGCCCGTGGAAGGCAGGGAGGCCGAAGATTTATTCGTCGTTAGCGCAGTGTTAGTTCTTGTCTTCGAAAGCGCCGTCTCCGGCTCAGCCGTCGTGTTTTGACCCTGGCCCAGTGACGATGCCCTAGATCGACCGGTCTGGGTCTTACCACTGAAGATCTGAGTCCAGGATGCGAAAGAGCGGTTGGACTGGTTGGATCGTACACTAGCCTCGTCAGCCGCTTTCGGCTTCTTGTTGAGCGTTTTCCCGCCAATGAAGTAGCTGGACGAGTTTGAAGGAGGCTGAAAGATGGCCTGAAGAGCTGAGCCCTTGCTGACATTGGAGCTTGAGACCCGAGGCCGCAGTGTTGCCTCCATGTCCTGGCTGCTTTCGCTGAGGCTGCTGTTTGCTCGGCTCGGGGTGCGACTTGCCCTTGCCAGAGAAGATGCCATTGACCCAGCTCTACTGCGATTGGCTTCAAGCTCCGCTTGTAGAGCCCCGGCTGCAGCTCGAGGGTCGGTACCAGGAACTGGAGCAAAGGTGCTGTCCAGAGGGCTGCTGACCACGATATCGTCGGCCATTGCTTCTGTCATCATGCCATCCAGCGAGGGAGGAGTGCGATCCACAGGTATGGATGATGCCCCGAGGCTCGGGTCACTTTCTCCCTGTTCCAACCGTAGCAGCCGCTTCTCGACCTCTGCAGTCGGCACATTGGTCTCTCGCAGGATCCGCTTCAACTCCCTCTCTCTGTGGTCCGCTCTGATCCGTAGAGTGGATATCTCAGCGTCTCTCTGGGCCAGATCTGCAGCATATTGTCGAACCAGCTTGACGGCCCCTGTTCTGGCAATCAGTCTTTCTATGTGCTCGTCGCTCGCCAGATGTAGAGAACCCGGGATATCCAAAGACGACCGCGGAGAGTCATCAAACAAGGCATTTTGATTGTTTAACGAGGGGGAAGCATTTGTCAAGCCAGCTAGTGTAGCCTTCCGATCCCTTGCCTTTTGCGAGATTGTTCGAAGTGGTTGGCGCAGAGCCTCTTGCGCAATGCTTTTGGCCGACTTCGTCTCCAGCTCGGGCGAGAAGGACGGAAAGGAGGTCAGGGCAGGATCGTCTTCGTCGATGGACCGTGAGGAATGCTTGGAGCCATGGCGTTTAGGTTGCCCACGAATGGTCTTCAGCTGCTTCTTCTGGTCGGCGGAATTGTGCGAGGTCTGCGACGAGGATCGTCTCGACTCGTTGCTGCCATGGTCCGACATGTTGGATGATCACCGCGTCGATCGGTGGGTTGATCTTCTGCAAGCCAACACCCGCATCTTGCACAGCCAGAGCTCAAGTCAGGGTCGATCGGTGAGGACGCCGGCAGTTCGAGAATCCGATGATGACGTGGGCCTCGAAGGTGAGGATGAGGAAGGATAGCGAAGAGTCGGTGAGAGCACAGTGAAAGCAGAGTCAGGGCAGAGTGAAGGCGTGAAGTTTCTGAGCGAGCGGAACGGCAAACACAACCTGCAACCGCCAGAGCCTTGGTTGGGCATCTCTTGTCACAGAAAGAACGAACAACTGATTCACATTTGCTTCGGTTGTGTATGACGACAAACTGCATCCAATCCGCGTATAACAAGGGCGCCGATGATGGCCGTCACGTGACCAGTTGCTGACTTGGAGCCTGCCTGTTGGGTGCGACGTGCAGTAGACGCAGGAGACAACTCCACCCTGTATCTCTTGCATCCTGTGTACCGCAATAGATCGAGGATCTCGCTGTGCTTCATTGGACGCGTCCATCATACGTGAACGTCCTCGTACTCCTGCGAACCCGGCGGCAGTATGCGCGGAACTCTGTGAAGGAGCAAACGCCATGGTTGCTACGCGTTCACCCATGCCCTAATTACAGGAGACATGCCTCCGTGGCCGCCGCGTGCAGATTCTTCACAACCTCCAGACCGCCAAAATGGGCCAGGGGTATTCCATGACCACGCTGTCGGCTGCCTCGGCAAGCATCGATGTGCCTGAGCTGGCCGACCTGGTGCACGAGAAGACGCTGGCCTCCGCCCGTTTCATGAAAAGCGTCCGGGCGCGCAGTCAGCATGGCTTCGTATTTGTCAAGGCGGTCATGAAGCCCTACTCGTCCTTCCGGGTCCACGAATATGTTCGCCAGATCACCGAGGAGAGAAATATCCTTGCTGAGAT